TGCAATGGGAAACTGGGGACAGGGAGCTGTGCTATATTAAGACAAATACCCTCACTTTCCAATCCAAATAGAAAGTCTCTGGAGCTCGGCGTCTTAAACAACTTAATTATATCATCTCTTTGTGTGCGTGTTGGTTTCTTGCGTTCAGGAGCTTTCTAGTCTGCCAGCTAAGAACGTTTTTATCAGGATAAAGATCCGTACAAGGTGCTCGGCAGAGTGGGCCAGCTTCTCCCTCACGCTGCTGTAAGGTGGTGGGGGAGGGTTGTTTGGGGGGTTTCTTTTTTTCCTTCCTTTCTTTTTTCCTTTCCTATTGCATCAGACCTTACTGAGCTGTGGCTGAGGGCTACTTGCTGAGGCTGCCACAGCCCATCCGCTTTCCTGTGCTGGTTTATCAGATCTGTTCATCAGCGGTTTCAGCCTGCTGTCCCTGAAGGATGAAACCCCGGTAGCGCGGAAGCTCCATGTTCCTGTGAAAGATAACCTGTTCTTTCCCATCAAAAGCTCTGTCCTTGAAAAGGCTTGAACTTGACGCTTGATAATATCAAGCATCTGTTGAGCTTTTGGCAAAACTTGTTTGCTGTAATATTTTTCTATCAAGATATCCTCCTACTGGTGATGACATCTGTCATCAGGAGGGGAGAGAGAAAAGCTGTTATAGTTAATTCTTTTGCTGAGTTCCAAGGAAATACACATTAATTCCCTCTTCAAGTTTTGAATTTTACCTTCCATGGGGAAAAACAAATCTGCCTTCTCCAAGTCAGGATGTACAGACAGGGTGTACTCTTCAGGCAGTCAGTCTGGAAAAACAAATCTGCCTTCTCCAAGTCTAGGATCCTTACAGGCAGGGTGTACTCTTCAGGCAGTCAGTCCGTCAGAAAGCTCCCAGTCTAGTTGATGGTTGATGACGGTGAAACATCAGTTCATTTCCATGCCGCAGAAAGACAGGGGGCCGTGGCTACGGCCTGCTACAGGACTCCTCCGGCAGAACCCCAAAGCTCTAGAGGCAGCTGCAGCGTGTCCGTGGTCCAACCCCCATTGCAGTTATTTAAAGAAACAAATTGAAACAGCGGGAAAAAAATGGGGAAATAAAGATCTTCTCGTCCTACAGATCTCTGCATGCCTGTGGTGGTTAAAGAATTCTTGTAAGAAGTAAGGGAAAAGGTTTTATCCCTTTCCCCTAGTAGAGAGGGGGTTAAATTGTTTATAACATGGGTAACCTGTAGGGTGCATGTCCTGTTTTGAGTGAATAGGTACGCTTTGGGATCCCGGCTGGTACCCTGACTGTGTATCCCGATGAGGCTTCGAGGAGTAAGAGGCTGTTCTGCCCTGTTGAGATCTCAGCTGCTTCTGCAAAAGCCTGACAGCAGACGCTTAAGTGGAAAGGGGACTTACCTACCAAAAATGGTGGGTTTAGGTCCCGCTCACTCAAGTAGCCATTGCACAGCAACTCTGGGGAGTTTTGAACGCACACGCTTAGGTCTGAAATGGAATAGGGATTTGGGAACTGGCACTGCAACCCAATTCTAGAGGTACTTAAGCTCTGCAGGAAATTCAGGGTTTGTGGTTTGTTGTTTTCTTTTTTTTTTTTTAAATCAACCCTCTATAAAACTTTGAAGTTCTCCTCTTGTACATAGCTTGAAACAAGTCTTGATTGTTCAAATGCACTTTATACCTTATTTTTGTCTGACCCCAGAAATTGAGCATTCTCATGTGTAAGCTTGGCATTTTGAACAGGGAAGTGTGCTCTGAAAATGCGAATGACAGATACAGTGCAACAGGCGCCTCTGATTTTATTTTAATAATGGCAAGATTTTCTTCTGACGCTATTTCACAATTAAGTTGCATTGCTAAAGAAATCACTGGCGCTGTGAGAAAAGGTTCAAAAGCCCACTGTAGTGAGGCAACAGTCAAGATTTTTCTTTGGGTATGAATAACAGCTTTCAAAAAGAAAGGCTTCACAAACAGGGACTGCCTTAATGCCGTCCCCAAGAAGTCTAGACCACAGCCTCTCCTAGGCCTTCAGGTCACTTCTTACAACTCTCCAGAGGCAGAGGACATTAAAACCACACCTCCAGTGCCTGCACTGGTGCTTTAACCATTGAACTGCGGATGGAGGACCAAGCAGTGGGAGCCACGCATGACTGGCTTTCCCTTCCCTTTTACAGAATGGCTTTTTTGGGTTCGGGGTCAGCTTGCTTTGGAAAGGAAATGACATTACAAAGGCTGAACACCAGCTGCCTCTCATCTGTACCTGAAGCAGTGTAGGATGTAAAACAAGTCCTGCCCTCAGCTAAGTCTAAACAGCTCCTTGTTGAAATCTGTAAAGAACTTACTTACACTGTTAAGCAGGTAACTCTGCTAATTAGGACATAATCTAATCAGGATCCTTGTTCCACAGCAGGTGCTTAAAAATTAGGTCTTCATTACAGGTATTCCACCTCAATTTAAAAAATGCAAATAAGTTTCAGTAACTGCTCTATGTAGTAATTTCTTGTGAACATAAAAGCACTTTTTATTTAAGAATTTGTTGGAATGCTTTTTTGTCCAATTTAAAAAAGCTCAGTGCTACAAGAGTGATTTCTGGCTGAAGAAACACTCGGGTTCCTGCATCAGTGTCAGAGCTGGAATGCTGAACCAAGGGCAAGTATTTTCATTTCGTAGCAAAAACTCTGCAACGAACTTCCAGCTAAACAAGTGAAGAGCTGATAGGCAGCACTTCAGCCCTTAGGGCAACTATAGAAAGTCATTGCAGATATGACAGATGTCACAGGTTTCTTCTGCTGATCACAGCAATACACTCAACACTAGCTGCTGTGTCTCCGTCTTTGCAAGGCAACTGCTCAAGCAAGGGTTTGCTTCTGAAAGTTCAGTACAGACTGCACAAAAAAAAAAAAACCAACCCCAAACAACCCACCCCATCCAAAGGCTGAAGAATGACCATCTCTATGGCAACTAAAGCACTTAGCAGGCTCATGCCCAACACAGATTGGCACAACTTTGCAAATGAAGTTAGTACAATCAGGGTGCAAGTAATCTGAGTAAAGTAACTCCAGACAGTACAGAATATTCCAGGTGTAACACTTAACCCATTGTCTGCTACAATTTTTTTATTGTGAGGAGGAAAAGATGGTACAGAGACAGCAATACAACATAGCTATGTGGGTGGAAAGAGACACACATGGCTGGCTGCGGCAGTCTGTCTGGCCACGGTGCTAGGGTGGTAAGGTGACTAATAAGCTTGTCAGGCTGATTACCCAGAGCTAACACCCAGTGTAGTGTGGGGTAGGGAGGGGAAGAATAGGAAACAACACCTTCACCTCTTGTGCAACCTCCCCCTCAGGTTATGTATTGTTCTACAGCCAAGGTAGAAGACTGCTGCCACCAGTAGAAAGGAGCCCTGCACTGGCCTCTACAGGTGCTGGCTCTGGTTCTTGTCTGATTATAAGATAAGATGATCCAATTCAAACACCCAAGCAAACAAAGAGCATACCACTATCTTGTAAAGAGAGCTAGCTGACAGCATGCTTTCAGATGTCCTAGCCTAAGTATGCAGGTGAGAATGACCTTGGTAAACAGCTCGCTAAAACACACTGTCTTGATGATCTTAAGTTAAGTCACAAAGATGGTATGCCACCAAGGAATTTCAACCTCTTTTGTCATCACGAGCCCTCAGTATTATTGCTATTTCATTTAGAAATTAATCAGAAAGCCAACTGCTCTCAAAATCAGAAGAGTTAGTTATTTTGCTTTAGTATAAGCTTTGACCAATTTAAAAGCCCCTGCACTTAACTCCAGAAGAGAGCACTGCTGAGAGCGCTGTTTAGAGCTCTTCAGTACAGCTATGCACAAATTGTGGTCCCCTCCTGTGAAGGGGAAGGCCAGCAGCAGCATTTAATCCAGTTACCCACACTACAGGGTAAGCCTGACCTACCACACCACCATAAAGCTGTACATTAGGAACAAAGCAACACCACAGTGTCCTGTAACAGTGAGACACTTACCAATCAAGTAGTAGAGTATCTTTCAGAAGACTGTCACATCATACCATGCCATGAAGGTTTTAGTGCATATGCTTCTTACAAGATTATTACCCAACTTAAGGTCCTGAAGTTACGTACCATGCTGTTGGCTAGTTTGAGTGTATTTATTCAATAGATCTCCATAAAGAAGCTTTGAATTCAATAGTTTATTTATAATTGTAAAAGCATGAGTGATACATACATTGAGTAATTGCATATTTGTTAGAACCATACCTACTCAGAAGATTGGTATGTGCAAAGACAAGACAGTCATGCTTAGATTTCCCCCCAGTAGTTTGTTGCTTTAGTCTTTATTCCCCCCCTTCAGTTCAGTAACATTTCCATAGAAACAGAGCGAGGAACTATAGATATATAATAGCCAGAGTTATTGAAGTGTATGAAGACAGTTTGACAACATCACGTAGGCCCTTTATAACTACTGAAGGTAGAGATCTGCCTAGTATTTAAAAGGGCAAAGACTGGACTAGGCAAGAGTTACAGCAAAAAAGGTAACAAGCCTAGTTACAGTTCACTCAAACCATTCATATCTATAGCTTGTTACGAACAAGAGAATTAGCATCAACTTTATCACATCATTCCAGAAGATAGCAATGGGTTATACATACACAGACATTTAAAAAAACCACACATGTATGTATATACTTTTTTTAAATAAGGCAGGTATTTATTTCAGGCTCTTAAAACATTTTTCCCAGGCCCTTTTCCTATTAATATAGCATATCTTGCCATTTTATTGCTGAAGAAAGCATACCATCATTGCAAGCAGAACAGCATCGGCACTGACTTTAGTTAGCATGTCCAGTTGAGTTAATAAGGTTCAAGACATACATTATTACTATGGAAGAATATTACTGTTACAGAAATACAGAAGACTAGTTGAATTCTATTTAGATGGCACCAAATCATTCTCTTGACATAGTCTGTAGTTAACAGTATACACTAAAAAGCAGAACAGCACCATTTTGGAGCAACAGAAAGACATACCTAAAATACTACTTCCCCATCTTTTACTAAGTTGTTATATTAAAAAAAAATACACATGGGAAGGATTAGGACACAACAGATTTTATCTGCTGCTCTAAAAATGCTTTCTTCCATAAGAAAGGATGCAGGACTTTTGAGCTCATCCAAATGTAAATCCTAATACGAAGAATATGCACGCCATTATCTTTGCGTAACTAATAAGAGTTACTTGTTAGTATGACTTACAAGGTGCACTCCCGAAGTTTTTTGTCAGCCTGCTTCAAGGAGATCCAGGTGTTTAACATGTTTGATCGCAGTTTGGCCCACACCAAATGGTTGTTTAACCCAAATATCTGGGCAGCAAACTGGGCAGCTCCTTCAGGTGACAGAGTAGTAGGACAGCCAAGACCTGCAGAGAAGAGAATGCCACTTAACCAAAGCACATTCTATAGTCAAACAAAACACTGCCTCTGTAGATCAATTTAAGACAATGTTTGTTTCAGCCTCCAGGAACCACATGATCTAGGTTTAAAGCTAGTGAAGCATCACACGTTCCACTACTTCTAATACAGCTGCTTCATGGCATCTTAAACTAAAAGCCAGCATACCAAATGACTCTCCTTATACACAAGTGACAGACTGCTGGGCCTCCTACTTGCCAAGCATCCACTGAAGTCAGTAACAGAAGTTAAAAATCATACAGGTAGCAATGCACTGAAGTAGTAGTTAGAGTTAAGCTCTTACCTACACTGATTGTGGAGAAAGATTTTTTCGTCTTTGATCATAAGAAAAATGCAGCTCTGTAACTGAGCAAAATTCAATGATTTAAATCCCCATTAATACTAATTCCAATTTCCAGCTGGAATGTTTAGCAAGGATAAGCCAAGGTTTATATCTTTCCTAAAGATTATCCCTATGTAATCTTTGCACTGTTTATTGGGCTTTTTTGCCATCAGAAAGTCAAAGATGGTATGCAAGATATTTCTAAAGACTTTGTTCAGTACTGATCCAGCTACTTTTCCAGTGTTTTGCTCTGTGTGTGTTTGCATAGGTTATGTACATAGAACAACAAAAACAGAGTTAAGTCAGAACAGGAGTGTAAGCTGAAGATCATCTTACCGCTGGGTAGTCTGAGAGAGGACCACACATCCTGGGTACCCCAGTCAGCTGAGAGCGGAGGACAGTTGACAACTGGGTAAGCAGTGTTACCAGACATTACTGGCCCCAAACCGTTGCTTCTGCCAGCTACGGCAACAAACACTGTTGGGATTCCATCTCCTGGGAGAGGAAGGAAGACATTCAGAAATAAGCAATCCACTTTGTTCTTTACCACTTGCTTTTGTGAGAAACTTATCCCAGTCCACAATTCTGTTTACAGTTATTTTGTCCATTACGTTACATTGCACTACAATTTTGTGTCTAGCTTTCCCCTTTACAGAAGGGTCTTCTACATCTTGCAGCTCTAAATCCCAGGTACTGTTTACCATAACTGAAGTTACCATGTCTTACTCTGCCTCTGAGGGGAAGTCTCAGTACCAGAGGAATTGGTGCTGCTTAGCTTTGTAGAGAACATAAACCATTAAACCTCTGGCATCTCCTTAAAACTGACACAGTTCACCTCAAAATAAGTGTTTCTTAACTATTGTTACCACATCTCTAGTTTCATCGAGTAGAAAGTATACTCCCACAAAAATAAACAGCTCTTATCTCCTCTGCTAGGCTATAAACACTTTTGAAGAGATGTCGAGTTTTCTTGATAAATATGAGAATTTAAATCAAGTCTTTTTTCCCCCCTCATGGCATCTAAAATAAGGAGGAAGAATATTTTCGTGAATCAGGCAGGAAAACATGATGGGACCAACATCTGCCTTGTAAATAACACATAAGAATATTCAGAGTCAGGTAGAGAAACTATTGCTCCTCCTCAGTTCAGAAGGGCCGGCGCCACCAGCAAGATGCTACCATTAACATGGTCAAGGCTTGGGAAAAGTAGTTTTGGTACAGGGATAAAAGCAGAGGTTAGACTCTGAGCAGTGAAGTTGTCGCTGGGCAGTAAGACAATACGTTACTCCATAATTGCTTAGTGCAGTCTATAACCTGTCATTATGCAATTAGCAAGTGTAGAACAACGTTGTAACAGCTTGCTGGAAATGGAAAAACCCCACACAAATCCTTAAGTTGCCAAGTCATTCTTGAACATGACACTGTTTCAATCCAAATCAGTAGTTCTTTGGCATTTACCTTCATATTCTGCTTTGATCCTCAGGGTTTCATCTGGCCCTTTGTGAGCAGAGGTCACTCTTAACTCACAAGGAATTCCAAAGGTTGCACATGCCTTTTTTATTTTTTCACAGTGACTGAGGTCAGAAGGGGATCCCATCAACACCACAACTCTACCTTGGCTCTTTGTTTTCAGAAGCAACTAGGGAAAAAGTGAAGGGGGGGGGAGGGGGCAAGGGAAAGAAAAGCAGTCAACAGGATTGAAGACGTGCAGTTATCAAAGCCTAGATATATAATTTATAAGAAAAAAAAAATACCTCCACTCTTTCTGCAACCCATTCGAAGTTTCTCTTAACCATTTGCAGTGCTTCAGGAGTCACTTCTTTCAGGTCCCGATAGGACTGAAGAGAAGGAAAAAACAAACAAACAAAACTGACATTAACATGTTTTGGGTGCACAAAGCACTCATTTTGCTACCATAATTGATAGGAATACCCCAACTGAAATATTCAGCTGTTTCTGGCAATTCCACAGGAAGGAGAACGGAGATCAATCTTCCCCTGTGGCTTACAGCCACTTTCTCTCACAGGGTCTGTGTTCCTACCATACTCTGTTACTTACCAACCCCCATGGCAGCAGCATTCCCAAACCAGTTCTTTCATAACTACTTATCTGGTAACTCAGAGCTATTTGACAAGTGTTAATTGCTACAAGTTTAAATACAGGACAAGTTTTATTTCAAACTTATGTTTGCAGCCCTCATGGACACAATCTGTTAGCAACACTTGGAGACAACTGAATATTGAGAATTCAAGCTTAACCAAAATAAATAATGAAGAAAAGCATTCTCCCTGCAGATGCCTTTTACGTGTCACCAGATCTCTGCTAGTAGAGGACAGCACTCCAAATAAACAGACAAACTTGGAGGCAGACCTACAAACCAAAGCTTCTATTCTTCCTACCAACTTGTCCAGCTATTTCATTATCTGCACAAGTCAGAAGTTATTTTTACCCCTGGAAGCTACCCATTTTATTACAATAGTTCCAGGCAACAGTGCTGTTGGGCATTCCTATTGAAGATATACAAGCAGAGGATTTTGTTCTACCATAAACTAGATAATCAACTATCTAATAAGAACAGGATTGAACATCAGGTACCCTATAAGCAACTCCGTAACAAGATAAGGCTACCTAGTAAAAGCCACTCTGAAAGCAGAGGTCTGACTATGGGGTTTTACTTTTTTTCATTCTCCTTCCCAACTGACTTAGAAGGTAAAGATTAAAACAGTACCTGTTTGTCCTTCTGCTGGCTTCTGTCTCCTGATGGCCACAGCCTCCATGAATCGTTATCAATAACATCAGCAAGAACAATTTCTTTTGTCAGAACATTAACACCAAATTCAATCTAAAAAGACAATCAGAATCCTATTTTAGGAACCATGCAGTGATAAGTTTCCTGTCAGAACCAGGATCGTGAGAAATCAGATTCTTATACCTTCAGGTCTACCAGAGTGCAGTTTTGGGGCTGCCATGATTTTTCCAGGATCTCAAAAATAGCTTGAGTAGAACGAGCCATAATATCCACTTCAGTCTGGCCAATAGTAAGTCCACCAAAACAGAATTTTGCTTCAATTAGCTGCTCCTCAGACCACTGTGGATCATTATTAGCATCATCCTGTTGATAAATCCAAAACACATACATCATGTAATTGAAGCTTGCTATAAGCAGAAAATAACCATTAGGAGATCATACTAGGTTTTGTTTGGTTTTCAAAAAATACAGGCTTCAAGCTAGTATTTTATGATTAGCACTAAAAAAAAAAAAAATAGTGGCAGCAACATTGAAAATACTTGCTTTAACACCTGAACATCTTTAAAAGCACTTCAAGTTTGGAAAGCGCCCCCAAGAGTGACTGGGTACACCACAAACATCACTTTAGGTCATAGTTCACACAACACTTCTTTCAGTGTGCATTCCCAAAGAAGGTCAGAATCCTAGGTGGCTAGCTAGCTACTTACCCTCACCATGCAAGTACCATTTATTTTAATTTCTTAAAATATATCAACACATCTGTTTCAAGTGATGTGTTAAGTTTATGCCAAAGAAGTCCCTATACCTTATAAATAAAACAATTTTCTATTTTATGTACAGTTTGGCTTATTATTCTTTGGCAGCCCTGTAAGCCAGTACTACATTATATGCACTTTAGACAAAATACCTGTTAAACAAGAATGCAAGAAAGCATTAGGATGGCAAAACTACCATTACTAAGAGGACTGGTCAGCCACTACTACTACTTGCCTTTTTTTATTTGTCAGCATTTTAAAGGAGATAATACAGAGTTCTAACTCTGTAAGTTTGATTAACATCACAGGAAAGGAAACTTACCTTGTAAAACATCTCAATTTTGGGTGGGTAAAACTTATATCCTTCTTTGACACCAGGGTTTCTTTTGAGGAAGGAGCCAGTAGCAATTCTTCTGCACACCCATTCAATTGGGATCATTTCACAGTGAGCTGCTATGAATGCCGTGTCACTCTGTTTCCTGACAAAAGCCGTTTTGATTCCTAAATATAAGGATGGCAGCTTAGTTCCATCACTAGGCACACTCCACAGTTAAAATAAGGGTCAAATATCTTTAAGTACAACTGAACCTTGTTCTTCTCTGGACTTAAAGGAACACACAATCTCTTCAGGGTATTTTAAGCCCACTCTGGCCTTGCAGAAGGCAATCAATACAGTTCTCTTCCACAAGTCATTAGTTTTGCTGATTTTAATCACACTATGCTCACTCGTAGCTCAGAAATCTTATTCTTGCAAATAATTTTGTTCATAGACCTTAAGGAAAAAAATCTATCCCTCACAATGGTTTGTTTTAATCAAAAGTTAGGAGCAACCAAGTACCCAATCATGCTCTCTGGTGGAAGATCCATTATACATGGAACAGTAATTGGAGGCTTTCAAAGGAGTTAAGGAGAAGGAGTGTGGCAGTCTTTTATTACTTTGTTTAATAAAGGAGGATGGGGATTATGACTTAGTCCTCCCTTTCATTACAAACATTTTTTTAGGGCCCTAGGTCTTAGTGATTTGTTAGGCAAAAGACCTTAAGACTCTGAAGGGCATGCACATACAAACCTGCTGCAGCAAGTCAGAGAATCATAGCATCATAGATTAGTTTATGTTTAAGTCAACCTTCTGACATAATTCTAAGTTGGCCCCATATTAAACAGGGACAGCCAACATGTGCAGATAGGCACTCTAAGTGCAAAATGGCTCTTTTTTCAATTTCACTCTTGAGGAAAGTCCCATATTCCTCCCCCCAGGGCAAGACAACTGCCAAACCCAATCGGCATCTGCCAGAAACAGAAGACAAAGGAGCTGCATCCAGTCAAGCCAAGAAGTAGCTGTACCCATTCCACTCCCAGAGCCACAAAGGAAGAAGTGTTAAAACACAGTATTAACACTGACTTTTCAAATTTTGTTGCACTGCCCTCCATGGCAGAATGATTAAATAATTGATTAAGTCCCTTCTAAATCCAGGCATTAAGGCCCCCCCATGGTTTACTACTACATTTTTCAATCAGTGCAGATGCACGCTTTGGAAGGACTGATATTAGCTCTGTTATAAAGGAGAGAAACTTTAACAGGACTTTGTAAATCATCACCTTTGCAAGAGTAGGTTAAGAAGAGTTGCGCAAAGCAAACAAACTACTTCTATGATAAGGCATTCACATTATCTGCAATTTATGCCAGTCAAATAAGCAAACTGGAGAAGAACCCTGAAAGTTCTTTTGTTGCTTTAAAATGGAGCTGCAGCATACTCTGCATATTTTCCTACAGCACCTGAAATTACTGAGTACAAGCCATTTAAGGATCTTTTAGAGGTCCACAGCATGGCTTCTTCACATTTAAAGTTTGTATCTGTTGGATATTAAATATTTTGATTGTTATCTTAACTACTGCTATTTAAGAATTAGGCAAAATATCTCATTAATTGTTCCTAAATGACAACTGGTGGTTTTAATCAACTGCAAATATAATCAGAAATACCTCGGAGGCTGCTTTGTACTGTATGCACAATACTGCTTACCAGGAAAGCCAGTGACTATATACTGAATGACTTGATATATCTTTGTCTCAGCCCATATTTTAAGAACTACTTGCAAAGAAATATGGGTAAATAACTCTACAGAAACCATCTTTCTCTTCCCCACATACAAACACACTAGGACTTCACTGTTTGACTGAGAACTATTACTACACTTTACAACAGATCATGCAACTTTTAGAGTAACTCAGCTGGCACCTGAAGCAATCTTTGTGTGAATGCTTCAAAGTGCACCGAGCACTCAGCTACAAGCTGTCTTAACCAAGTTTACCAGTGCCTGTATTATAGTACTGTTTGCAGACTCAAGTTAAAAAAACCACCAGCGCAAATTCCTCTTTGCATCTTGCAAACTTCTCAGCCAAAGACACTTCAAAATGCTTTCTCAAAGCAAAAGATACTGGCTCTATTTTTGTAAGCGTGGTGCAAAACTTAATTGAGTGGCTCAAGTTAGCCATGTACTCCATGAAAGCTCACTTCTCCATCAGAAATAATTTGAGTCTTTTAAAGTAAACATTACCTTCCCAATAGATTCAATACAGACCAAAATATGCATTTGCGATATAGTCCTCGTAAGTGTTTAAGTACAAAGCGTGCAGAAACTTTACATTGGTTTGGCACACAAAACAGAGAGAGGATGAAAAGGATAAAAGGCTACTCTAATTTTATCTTTTAACTTTCAAACACAAATGTCACACAGCTTAGCCATAGTCTGGTAGAGCCACTAGCTAGCAGTGACTTCTATGGAGGCAGGGGTAGTAAGAAAGGCGAAATGCATGCAGTCCGGTGTTACAGGGAAGGGGGTGTGGGGTAGGGAAGACCAGACTGGAGTGGAGGATAAGGGGTCTGTCCAAACAGCCAGAAGAAATAATTACAGCGTTATCTGCCATTAGAATAACAGAATGGTTCAGGTTGGAAAGGACCTTCAAGATCGTCAAGTTCCAACCCCCCTGCCATGGGCAGGGACACCTCCCACCAGCCCAGGTTGATCCAAGCCCCATCCAGCCTGGCCTGGAACACCTCCAGGGATGGGGCAGCCACAACTTCTCTGGGCAACCTGTTCCAGTGTCTCACCGCCCTCAGAGTGAAAAGTCTCTTCCTCATATCTATTCTAAATCTACCCTCCTCCAGTTTGAAGCCGTTAGCCCTCATCCTAGAGGATTATTTCAGACAGCCTCACGCTCCAAACAAACAAGTTGCCCACCCAGCTCCGTAGTAACAGAGGGAAAAGCGTAACTAAAAACTAATGGAAGAGACACATCGGAGCCTTAAGGCAGGATAAACCAATATATAGAAGCAACACCACTTTGCGACAAGATCTGCAATACACAGGCGAGATGTTGTAGTACACCTTTGAAATACTCACCGGCTTCCTGGAGGAGCTGGAAGACGCAGCTGGTCGTGGTGTTGGAAATGGCAGCCTTCCCCTCCATGCGGTCCTTCCTGGCCGCGTTCCCCGCCGTTATTTGGTCTTTCGACTGCATAAGCACGCACCCCGGCATGTCCGGCAGCTCGTACACCTCTTTCGTTTTACCTTCGTTAACTTTTTTACCAAGTTTCAGGTCTACGGAAATAAATAAATAAATAAGCGATCAGTTGCCGAATGGAAGTTTTATCCACTTTTGCACCTCAGTTCGCACACTCGACGCCCAAGTTGTGCCGCTGGGTCTCGCTTTGCGCGCACTTCCCTCCCCCCCCGTCCCCTCTCCAGTCCGTGACCGCGAAGCGCGCGCTAAGCCCCCCAACGACCGTTACCGGCCTC